ATCGACAATCCATTTCCCTTCGTTCGCATCCTGTACCAGAGTACCACTCTTCTCTAAGCGATCCATGTTCTCGAGGTAGGCTACTGCTTCGTCGGTTCGCCCGAGACCGGTTTCGCTCCAGACTTGGATGGCGGAGTAGACAGCTAAGCTCACAGTCAGCACTCGTAGTTGGTTTGACGGACACTACACACCTGGCCGCGTTTCTCGTATCCGTTGAAGAAGAGGATCCATCTCACCCGGCCGGTCCAGATCCAGCGCCTCTTGCGCTGGCTGTGTGTGTACTTGCTCTGCCTCTGCCGTCTCCATCATGTCTTGTTGCGCCTGCGCAAATGCTTGTTCGAAAGCCGCCTCGTCGAACGCTGGTACGTCATCCTGGGCGCGCTGCTTTCCTTGCGCGACCTCTGAGACTTGGGCGTTCTGGAAAGTCGGAGTCTGCATATATGCTTGTCCACCAAATCCACCCATGTTGTATCCCGACATACCTCCGTACGGGGTTTGCTGCAATGCAGGCGCCTGTGCGACCGGAGCCTGCTGCCTCAAGAAGTCCTGATGCCATGCTGACGCCGCGCTCGCCGGCTGCTGTCGCTGTTGCTGGAACGTTTGTGGAGGCGGACTGCTAACATTCAAGCGTTGAAAGTCAGCAGCCCAGTCTGGAGCTTGTGGAGCTTGCGCAAACTGGGGAGGAGGTTGCGCGAATCGTGGATCGAAAGGTTGGAAGTTTTGTGTTGGAAGAGGCCGGCCGCCGGCTTGAAAGGCTTCAAACTCGTTATCTAACGCGCCTACATTAGGTCCCGGAGATGATCTAAAGCCCTGCTAAAGTTAGATGACAAAGCGCAAGTTTCGAGTATGACCACACACCTGCGCCGGTGAATGTCTGCCGACCAAGCGGTCCTGCTGAAGCGTCCGGTCTACGGTCGTATGCTTCTGGAAGTTCTGCAGGGCATTTGAAGGCCCACAAAGCTCCGCCATGTCGAATCAAGAAGGAGTAAAAGTACACTAAGAGGGGTATCAACGCATGCTAGAAGGAGAGTGTGAGAGAGTCTGTTGGAGTGATGGTGTTGCGGCAACTGAGCGTCATGTTCCCGGAGATCAGAAGCCGACCGCATGCCGAGGCAAGAGGCGTGAGTGGGCCCCACGCGTCAGCCCTAGAGCTGTCAGGCAGGTGCGATCCATGGATGACGCACAAGCACGTGCTACACTCTTCACTCCCCAAATCCTGTGAAAGTGGCAGTTGGTAAGATCGCACGTGGCATAAATTAAGTCGCACGTCTTCGAGCTGGAATGGATTAGAAGATCAGCACCGTCCGTCCAAAAATTGTAGACCCGAATCGACGTAGCACAACACCGGTGAAGAGCTGGAGGTCGTTGAGACGCACGCATATGCGCAAAGCGTTACACAGCAGTATGGGCGAGTCAGATAGGTTAAGTAACATGCGTTCCAATCGAGAGCGACGGTAAATCAAAACCATGCATACAGAACTACGTAACAGAACAACCGAGCAAAGGTACCTATGTATATGTATAAGATCCTAGAGAGAAGATTGGTATATGTCGTCATGAGCAAAGAGAAACCAACACCTCCAAAACATAAAACGCATCATAAACCCCCATCTCAACCCCCTCATCTACCATAAAACATCTCCCCCAAACTGATATTCGCCTGACGAGACGAACCCCCAACAACACTCCTCGACCTAGACCTCGACTTCTTCCTCACAAAAGCATACTCCTTCTTACCGTGTCTATCCCTCCCTTCCGATTCAATAAACAACTTGCTACCGTGTCCAGTGCGCAGACGACGGGTATGCTCGAAGAGGATGTCGGTTTCGCGTTGGGACATTTCGCGGAGGACGATGATGTATTCGGGGTTCTGGGTAGGATGTTAGTATATTACTTGGTAGGAGATTATAGGGTTGGTGGATGGGGACTTACAACGTCGAATTCGTAGGGGATGTCGTAGTAGTGCAGCGTCTCGACGTCGAGATGGCTTCTGTGTACCTTGGCGTAGGTAGGCGGCGGTGCAATAGCGATCTGATGCGAAGAAGAGTGCGAGTGAGAATGAGAGTGGTGGTGGTGCGGTGGTGGCGGAGGCGCAGGAGGAGCGACTGGATGGAGAGGATGGTTAGGCATCATGCCTGCCTGGAGCTCACGCTGCTTGTCCGGGTTGACGAGCGCCTGGATCTGGTTGTCTTGGAAGCCGAATTGAGCGAGTCGCTTGCGCATCGTCTCCTCGAGTTCCTTCTCCTGGGCCTCTTTCTTTCGCTTCTCAGCTTCTTCTGCGGCTTGCTGCTTTCGCGTGAAGGCGTCGAATTCTTCCTTTTCTTTGCGCTTTCGCTCTTCCTCTTCGAGTTTGAGCTTCATGATGAGCTCCTCTTTTGCTCGCTTCTCCTTGTCGGCGTCTAGGATCTTCTTGCGCTCGTACTCGTAGATGATGCGGTCTTTCTCTGCTTGAGCTTCGGCCTCTTCTTTGGCCTTCTTCCGTTGGTATTCATCGACAGCACGCTGTTGAGCTTCCTTTGCCTCTCTTGCCTGTTTGGCTACTTTGGCTTCGTTGTCAGCGATGATTCGCTTGCGCTCTTCTTCAAACGCCTTTTCCTTGAGTTCACGCTCACGTGCCTCCTTCTCAAGCTTAGCCGTGTTCTCCGCAATGATGCGCGCGCGTTCTTCGTTCTCTCGCTTCTTCTTCTTCTCCATATCAGAAAGGATCTTCTCACGCTGTTCCTCGGCCTCACGTTGCTCTCTGGCGTGCTTGAGCTTGGCCTCGGCAAGTATTCGCTTGCGCTCGTCATCCTGTTCTCTCTGCTCCCTCTCTAGTTTGGCAAGCATCTTGTCGCGCTGTTCCTCAGCCTCCCTTTGCTCTCTGGACATCTTCGCCCTGTTCTCGGCGATGATTTGAGCTTTCTTCCTCTCCTCGTCGATATCGCGTCGCTCGCGGTCTCGGTCTTCCCTCTCTCGCTTCAACTCCCAATCGCGACGCATACTCTCCTCCATTCTCTTGATGTTTTCCGCTTCTTGCTCACGGTCCCTTCTGTCATGGATGAACTCAAGCTCAACCCTGCGCCTGGCCAATTCTTCCCGTCTCTCGGTTTCCCTCTCCCAACGTTCTCGTTCAGCCTTCTCCTCGGCTTCTTCAAGGCGTTGTTGCGTTAGTGCCTCTTGTATCTTATCCTTGTAGCCATCTGACGAGTGATGACGTCTTTCCCTTTCGAGTTGCTGTTCAGCATCCCGAAGCCGCTGCTCAGCAAGTGTCAACTTGACTTTGTCCTCGTAACTACGATCTGGCGAATGATGATGGTATCGCTCCTGACGCTCCCTCTCAAGCCTATCTTCGAGATCTCTAAGACGTTGCTCAGCAAGTGTCAACTTGATCTTGTCTTCGTAGTTCGGCTCGGGAGCACGTTGATGCTCATACTCGTGCCTAGAGCGCGACCGGTGCTCCTTCTTTATGTCTGCTCGTAGCGCAGCGATGTTTTCTTCCAGGTCCTCAAACCCACCAGGCATGCGTCGGCCACGAGGACTGGCGTCTTGACCCTTCTGCTCAGTGCTTACACGGGGGTGGCTATCGTTATCCAGGTGACTGGTGTTGTAGATTGTCACGTTCGGAGCAGGCGCATGGCCTTGTGAGCGAGTTCGATGGAGACCGGTTGTATAGTGCACTTCTGGAGCCAGAAACTCTGTCGTGCGACGACCGTAGTCAGGACGATAGACCTCGTCGTCTTGGACTCTCCGCGGTGGGGGTCGGGGTGCGGGGGGATGAACATGACGGGTGTGAATGTTCAAAGTGTCCTTTGTGACTTTGTGTCTGTGCCACTCATCGTCCGTCGAGTAACTCGGGTCCCAGTCGGATGCTCGTGGCATAGTGGGCGAAGAGGCAGGAAAGACGGGTGAGAAGTAGAAAAACTATCCTGACTGTTCGGTCTGAAATTCAAAGCGAGGACAAAGCAGAGCAATCAATCCAAAACCTTTGGGTTGGTCTCAGTTGCGGCGTGGACACACAGAGCGGGGTCGACGCTGAGGGGGCGGCACAGCAGCAGAGGTGACACGGTATAAAGAGAAGGTAACGTAAGAAAGCAGAAATGTCAGCAAAGGTGCGGCTGCAGCAGAACTTGAAGGAATTGCGCCCCTCTTGCTGGAATGGGGGCTGAAAGCTGCCTGATCACTAGCGGCATCCTCATGCGCCCGGTCTTGTGAACACAAATCAGCCGGAAGGCATATTTGACCTATCAACGATAGTGTAGAAGGCCGTCCACATGCCTGCATCCCCTCTGCGCTGTTGTAGCGCTGCAGTGTGCGATTCTTGCGACGGCTTTGCCCTACATCCTTCGGTCTCTCCAGCTAGCGGCACGAGGATGGTGATGGTTTGGTGGGGCATGTCGAAAATAACACTAATCAAGCGCCATCAAGCGCCAAAGCCTCCATCTACTCTAGGCTGGGGGGGGGGGGGGGCCAATCGAACCAACCCAACCGTGGACATTTGATACTCTAGGCTGGGGGCGGAAGTGACATATCAAGTAAGCCTTGTTAGTGTACAGCGCTGCTATCAAGCAACCCGATCAATCTTCAAGTGTCAACTTCGTGGGTACTCCCACTCCGTTGATCTCCCTTTGACGCGCGCTCCAAGACACATGTTCTCCATGCTTCAGCGCCTCCTGAAACAGCTCCGCTCGCGTGCGACCCGCCGAGGTATCGTGACCAACAAGCTGATCGGAGTAAGCCTTCATGTGCCCGGGGCCGCGTTTTCGGCTAGAGCAGCCCCAAGATCGTCTTCGATAGCCACAGCTCTTCAGCCGCACCTTTCCAGTCAGGGTCGGTCCGAAATTCCAGGCTTTCGGTCTTCATTAGATGGTGTGAACTTTGACGAGATAGGTATTCCGTGAGAGACGTTAAGATGTAGATCGTTTATTCCATTTGAACACTCCAATGTGCATGTGAGCGAAGAGGGTCTAGCCGAGTGTCGGCGCCAGCGAACGCCGGCTATGCAAGTATCGTACAGTTCGTAATTATATCTTCTCCTCGACGACTTCCTTCAAAGTCTCCGCTCGTCGAATCAGCTCTTCGTAGACTGTCCAGGCAAGCGCACTGCTCATTGCCTTCCTCGCGATCCTAATACCAAGTCCATCAAACATGCTGCGCATGCCTTCCTCCGCAAGCATTTTCTTGCTCGCCTGTACCATATTGCCGTACTTATGAGGCATAAGCTGTATGCGCGTCTTGATAGCATCGAAGGGATTCGTAATAGTCGTCCCCAGCCCCGCTGCAGCAACACCCGAGATGAAGTTTATTCCCGCGGATGTGCTGGTAGACAGCTTGGTGGCGGTGCCGGACGTCTCTTCAATCTTGGTTGCGAGACTAGATAGCTTCCGTTTCGACTGCTCGTAGAAGAGGACGTAGAGCCCCGCGTAGGGGGCATCGCGTACTGCTGTTGCGCCGAAACCAGCGAAGAAGCCTTTGAGTCCTTCTGTTCGGAAGATGTCTCGAGATGCGGTGAAGAGCGAATTGTACGAGTACAAGCTACTCTCATACCGCACCTTCAGAACGGTTATCGGCATCATGATGAAGCCCGCCCATGTCCGCGCAAAGGCTCCCGTTGCCAGATTCGCGGTGTTGCTCAGTTTGGGCAGAGAGCTCGAGTGCTCCGCGCTTTTGACTGCCGCATCGCTGCTGCCCGCCGCGACCAGACTCGCTCTATGCCGTAACGCGTTGAGACTTGAAAAGTATATGGCAGAGCCAAACCCTGTGCGCAGGGTACTTGGTAATGTGCCCCTCCAGAACTGACGTATCGGGTTCGGCCCGCTGGCTATCGACTGGATGGTACCGAGGAGTGTGCTCGAGCGGGATTGTTGGACGCGGGTTTTGAGGAGGTCGGCGGGTTGGAGAAGGACGGCAGACAGGATGCCTGAGTTTAGGCCGGCGAAGAAGTGGACTGCGCGGTTGTTAGTAACTACAATCCGCTAGCTGTCGCAATAGCAATTATGCTCCTCGCTCTTTCCACTTACAGTAGGACGACGAGCGCTTTCCGCGGGCGCCATCTGACATTGCCGAGGCGTCAAGTATTCAATTCCTATTTTAAGAGATCTGAAGCTGCAATACGCATCATGGTAACAGCCCTGGAAGACTGGCCGCAAATACTAGGGTGAGAGAGTAACAACGTGTCTGTCCGTCTCACGCGAAAAAGTGTCATGACGACATGTTCCGAGCCTCGGCGAGTCGGTGATATTTTCGCTTGCGTCTGGTACCGCGTCTATCAATGATACATCCTTGATCAACTCATGAACTCCGTAGACATTATTAGCATCGTGAATCGAAAGTCCGTTGTCAAAATTAGTACAATTGGCCAAAAAGGAATTTGCCATGTCGCATTATATTGATCTAAACATCAATCAATATTACGAAGAAACACCTTCTCAATCCTATCATACATCGCTCCATACATCCCAGACACGTCCCCAGAAGCCTAGCAATCACGTATTCGGTGGTGCAATATGTGAGAGCGAATGCAGTTCTCCATCAGTCCTCATCATCGTCGTCGTCTCCGAAGATAGCCTTGAAAACATCCTCACTCGCCCGATCATTCGAAAGCGCCTCGTTCTTCTCCACGTCCACAGCTGCATGCCCACTCTGTTCTGTAGCCATAGCTGCAGCCGGGACAGCAGCTTCCGATGCCTGACCCATCCAAGCCGGCCGCTGGAGCGCAGGACCGTTAGTCAAGAACTCATGTTGCAGCTTCTCCATAGCCGACTTGGACACTGCTTCTTCCGTCTGCGATTTGAAGTGGCTTTCACCAGCATCAAACTCAGGCGGCATGTCTGGTGGGGGCTTGACGTTGAAGCGTTTGCAAAGGAGTCGCGATGGGTAGAAGGGGAAACTACTTCGAGTCATGGGACCGTACATGCCTAGCTTCGCCGCCTGCTCTGCGGGATCTTCTGGCTTTGCGGCTGGCTGTCGTAGAAGGTTCGCATTCGCTGCTCCACCATCGTTTCCGTTCAAGGTTGAGGACGACGCGGATGTGAATCGGGAAGCCATAATGCCAGTTGTTGGCTTGAAGACTTCTGCAGCATGTGCAAACTCCTGTAGCTCTTTGATCCAGTCCGAGACTGATACGCCCTCCCTTCGTTCTGGCAGGTCCTCCTTCAGTCCTGCTTTCAACTCTAGGAAGCCGACGTAACGTGCACGCTTCTGCATGTCCTCAGCATAAGGCATCCAGCCCGTCGCACCCTTGGCAAGTGCTGCAGCGGCCACGCTCTTATCAAGAACAGGCACGAGACTCCACAGATCTTTTGGTTGGGCTTTGCTTGCGGGCAAATGTCCTTCAGGAGCAGCTTCTCCCAGGCCCTGGGGCAGATCGGCTTTACCAGATAACGCAGCCAAACGATCTCGGGCGTCCTTGGGTATGAAGTCGAAGATGGACTTTCCGGGCAAAGCTTTCTCCCCCAAGAGTGCCGAACGCCCTTTTGCATCCAACGTTGACGCTTTCGCTGCGTCTGCTACAGATTGGTAGTCTTTCGATTCTGAAGTCGGAGTGGCACTTTTCGAAGATTTCCAACCTGGAGGTATCTTCGGTGGAGGATATTTAGGCTTGCTGGTGAGTTCGGTGAGACCGGCCGCGAATGTGAAGCCACTCAACGGAGATCTCCCATCTATAGATGGCCTGCTCAGCGAGACCAAGGCTTTGGACGAACTCTTCTTCGAGACAAAGACATGCTTCTCTCCTGCTCCTGGCTTGGCGAATTTACTGGGCTTCTTCCCCTTCTTCTCCTTGCCTATGGTCTTGTTGAACGTGATCTTCGGACCCAATTCGTACGGGTCTTCGTCGTCCGAGCCGGTATCGTTGAGCACGCCAACGCCAAAGGAAGACTTCTTCAGCGCAGGCTTCTTCACAGTCGATGCCTTCTTCGGAGCTTCAAGATAATGCAGGTCGAACTTGGATGAACGGTCCGTGGCCTCTTCTTCCACAGCACCCAGGCGGGCTTCCGACGTGTATCCCAGGCCTTTGCGACGGACTTCTTCTCGTGGCAGAGTCATAATGCGAGCATCTTGAGGCGCAAACATATGAGCTGCATCATCCTTGGAACCGGATGCGCCATCTTCCAGGTCAGCATTCCGGCGCACTTTGCGACCAATGCCCTGATCTCGCCGCCAGCCCATCTTCTGCGCAATCTTGACGCCCATTGTCTCCTCCTGGGTCACAAACAGGCCGAACAGTCCATCGTCGTTCGCTTGTCCAGCTTCGCCTATGCCGGCAAAGTTCTGCGCAGTCTCCAGTTGGCGCGACTCGGCTGCTGCTGCCAGATCCTCCTCGTCCATAAAATCTTCGGCTCGCTGGGTCGGGCCATTCGGCTGGTCTTTGTTGCGGTTTGCGCGCGAGGAAACGAAGGTTTTCGGGGTCCATCCTTCTTTAGATCCAACTGTATTGAAGTATCTTAGCATAGTCAAGAAGTCTTGCGTTCGTCAAGATATGGCTCGGAAACTTACCCTGCACTGAAACCTCCTGTGAATGCGCCGTGGAGTCTCCGGCGACCTCGCTCGTCCGTCACGGTCTGCTTCCACACGGGCACGAAAGCGCCATCATCGGCCTCTTCTTCGGGAAGCCCGGTGCCTAGGGATATGTAGGTTGTCGGTCCGCCGCGAGAGCGCTTTTGCGCGTTGGTCGGGGAAGGCGCGCGCGGCCGTTTGTACGCCATTGCGAGAGATGTCGGGAGTGGAGTTGCGCAGGCCGTGGGCGATTGTTTCGGGACCAGATTTCTTGAGCCAGATTTGGCTAACGCAATCCGTAGACCAGGTTCGTCACGCAGTCAAGCAGTCACCAGCCAAGCGAGGGAAAGTTGAAGCGGATCACGAGTAAGCGGCCGATGGGTGACTAATCAGCCGCGATGCTATTGGCTGAGGGACGCTTACCCAGCGACCAGCGACCAAGCGCAGTCAGACCACGTCCGGTAGCCAACTCAACAAGCCGCACGGGGACTACAAAGGGCACACCTGGGCAGTTGTCTACGGGTGAGTTTCATGTGTCGGTAGAATTCGCAGCGCTCAGCTCAAGTGACTGTACTGGCTGCCGTTGGACTAAGACAAAGGAGTTAGTAGGCAGGGTGGGCCCGATGATGTAGTGCCGCGCCTGGGTCGAGCGGCCTAATGAGCAAGCAAGGCTGGTGTCCGGCTAAGCTCGTTGAGACCCTGATCAATGGATAGGTAGAGCTGGAGCGCAATCTTGTGAGATTGAGGCAGCGAGGAAGAATAAAGCGTGCCTCCTGAGGTATTTCTTTGACAGGTATGGATTAAGACAAGGAGGACCGCAGAAACAGGGTGGACGCATTGTCCCGAGCGAAAACCTACCCCACGACAGCGGCCTGGCGTTGGGCGACGAGCTAGGCGTGGAGCGAGAGAGCTATCGTGTTTGACCTCCGCCCAGAAATAGCCATAACAACACAGCACATGCACTCGGGCGGGCGCAGTACATGCTTCTCTCGACGTCGATGCTGCATCTCTCTGCTGTAACCCGTGTGCTGCATCCGTCCCAGCAGACGCCTATCTAGACCAGCCTACCAACACGCCGGTGCCAAGTTTGGCGACTGCCATCTACCGGCCCCTAACCTCTTGTACCCTTACGCCGCAGTACCCACCGAGGACAACAAAGTAATCTCTCCACATTGTCACGATAGCCTTGCTGCTTGCGGCTCTGCGCTCGCTCCACGCCCAGTGCGTCTGTGCTAATCGAGGCCCGCATCTGCTCCCTGCGTTGCGCGTAACCGTGGTAGAGGCAGCGCATTCACCATGTCGGCCGCCGCCCCATCATCGCCCGCCGTCGTGCGCACCTCTTCTTCGTCGCGCAGATCCATCGACCGCCCCCATCGCTCCCAGAGCCAGAGCCAGCCCACCGCCAGCCGCGCGCCCCCCGCAAGCCGCCATCAGCAAGGCGGCCTCCCCAACGTCGCCCGCCGAGACTACGAGCAGAGCAACGTCGCCCACGAGCAGCCCTCACCGCAGCCCTCACGACGCAGCGAAGACCCAGGCCGCACCGAAGCCACCCGCCGGAGCCACACGCGGTATGCGTCTGACGCGTCGACGACTTCCGCAATGCCCGTCAATGGCGTAGCTGCCGAAGCCAGGCCGGGCCAGCCTCAGCCCGTCAACAAGCGCAGGACCACCATCACCGCACCCAGCACCGGAACATGGGCGCTCGGAAAGACCATTGGCGCCGGCAGCATGGGAAAGGTCAAGCTGGCCAAGAATGCCGAGACCGGGGAGCAGGTGTGTACTTTGGTTGTTTACGTGGGGCATGAATATGGCGCATTCAGCGAGAATATAGAAACACTCAAACACGTGCTAATCATAACAGGCCGCCGTCAAGATCGTCCCGCGACAGTCCCAGGACCAGCACCAGAGCGCCGCCGACCGCGAACGAGCCGACCACTCCAAAGAAGTACGAACCGCCAGAGAGGCTGCCATTGTCAGTCTGCTGAACCATCCCTACATCTGCGGCATGAAGGATGTCGTGCGCACAAACTTCCACTGGTACATGATGTTCGAGTTCGTCAATGGCGGACAGATGCTCGACTACATCATCTCTCACGGCCGCCTCAAGGAAAAGCAGGCGCGCAAGTTCGCTCGACAGATTGCCAGCGCCCTGGACTACTGCCACAGGAACAGCATCGTCCACCGAGATCTCAAGATTGAGAACATCCTTATCAGCAAGATGGGCGACATCAAGATTATTGACTTTGGACTGAGTAACTTGTTCTCGCCTAGGAATCAGCTCAAGACATTCTGTGGAAGTCTGTACTTTGCCGCCCCCGAACTTCTCCAGGCCAAACAATACACTGGCCCGGAGGTCGACGTCTGGAGTTTTGGTATTGTGCTGTACGTCTTGGTCTGCGGCAAGGTGCCGTTCGATGACCAGAGCATGCCACAGCTCCATGCCAAGATTAAGAAGGGTCATGTCGACTATCCCCCATGGCTGTCCGCAGGTATGTTACGCCGGCTTACAACTCCATACTGAGCTAATTTCCACCAGAATGCCGCAACCTCATCCACCGAATGCT